TTTGTGACTGGAGTATCTGTGATGACACCTTGTGACTGGAGTATCTGTGATGATACTTTGTGACTGGAGTATCTGTGATGACACTTTGTGACTGGAGTATCTGTGATGATACTTTGTGACTGGAGTATCTGGGATGATACTTTGTGACTGGAGTATCTGTGATGATACTTTGTGACTGGAGTATCTGTGATGACACTTTGTGACTGGAGTATCTGTGATGATACTTCGTGACTGTCTTTGTCCCAACAGGTCATTCCAGTCTTTTAGTTGGGGAATGATTGTGCATTTGTGTGTGTGTTTTGTCTTTCTTGAGAGTTTGTCTGACAGTCACTTGCAAAATGGTCTCTGCAGGACCTGATGAGGTGGATGAGATTGTCCGGAAAAATGAAACTCTAAAAAACAATGGAAAGATGTTGTTCTGTTAGAGTGGATATTATGTCTAGACAGTTACATGGTGATGTCATCTCTAGACGGTTACATGGTGATATCATGTCTAGACGGTTACATGGTGATGTCATATCTAGACAGTTACGTGGTGATGTCATGTCTAGACAGTTGGTGATGTCATGTCTAGACAGTTGATGATGGCATGTCTAGACAGTTACATGGTGATGTCATGTCTAGACAGGTGGTGATGTCATGTCTAGACGGTTGGGGATGGCATGTCTAGACAGTTACGTGTTTATGTCATGTCTAGATAGTTACATGGTGATGTCATGTCTAGACGGTTGGTGATGTTATATCTAGACAGTTACTTGGTGATGTCATGTCTAGACAGTTACATGGGGATGTCATGTCTAGACAGTTACATGGTGATGTCATGTCTAGACAGTTACATGGTGATGTCTTGTCTAGACAGTTACATGGTGATGTCATGTCTAGACGGTTGCATGGTGATGTCATGTCTAGACGGTTAGTGATGTTATGTCTAGACAGTTACTTGGTGATGTCTTGTCTAGACAGTTACATGGTGATGTCATGTCTAGACAGTTACATTGGAGATTGGTGATGTCACGTCTAGACAGTTATGTTTTTTTTTCTGGCTAGAATTTCTATAGATCTAGGTCTTCAGCCCCAAGAAATAAGTCCAATCGTCATTTTAACCACTCTTTTGCTTTATAGGATGAACATGCAGAGGAAGGATATTGACATTTAGTAATAAGAAGCTAGGCTTTATGAAGCTAGTGTGCCAAAAGGCGTGAGCATTTTACGTTGTTCCGTTTTGAATCAGTGCATGGCTGGCTAGCATGTTTGATAGGTCTGTGGTATATTCCTGTTGTAGACGTTTACTCAAAGTCAACATACCCAACTAGCATGTTTGATAGGTCTGCGATATATTCCTGTTATAGACGTTTACTCAAAGTCAGCCGAACTTTTGTGTCAAATTGTGTTTAGTCATGTATATCCTCAGTGTGCATGACAGTGAGATTTTGTGTTTGTGATAATGATGAGACAACCCCCAGAAGTTGACGTAATAAGCTTGCCTTAAAGCTCCTAGTGTACTTGTTTGGATAAAAACATAATTTTGGGGAACAGATGAGGAAATGTGAATGGAGGTATGGCTCAATGGTTGTCACATGATACATGGGGTTGTGGTGGAGGGAGGGAGAGAGGGGTGGGGGAGGGAATGGTGGTGGAGGGTGGATTAGTGGTTGTCACATGAAAAG